GAGAGAAATCAGTGAGTGATCTCCCACTGGAGACTAAGTATCATATATTGGCCTTGTCGAGATGGCACTCAACATGTAAACAACCCACACGTTCACGAGCAATAAAACTAGAGTCCTTTATTGCTACTTGTCTACAAGATTTAGATAAGCTCTTCAGCTGAGGTCTTCGAAATGCAGATGTTAATCCTCTAGTGGTGTCTCTCCCCGAGCCCATGCAGGACTAGCTCTCTCGGTCACACCTTTCTTCCCTCTGACGTTACAGGGCCTGCCTTTGCTCGTATCTCCTTAGAATTCTGTGATTGGTCACTAGAGAAAAGTCAACCATGCCCCCTGCATCTCCTGTGTCATGTTCAGGAAGTTCAGCGTCAGTGGAAGGAGGGACAGCCCGCTCTGACTCCTTCTGAGTAGAACTCGTAGTGTCTTTCGGGGCTCTCTTGCTTTGATGTGGGCTCGGGTGTTTGCTCAATGGGTCAGGGGGAGGTGCGGCTACCTGCTCAGCCACCCCCAAGCTAGGTCGCGAGGTTGGCTTTTGGATACAGGGTCCCAAGTGCAAGACCTCCTCGTGAGGTGCTGTCGGGTCTTCAGGCAAGACAGGCCTGTACCACTCTGCCTAGGCTCTGCCATGGCCTCTCGGGATGTGAGTGGTATGGAAAGGAACAGCCAACTTGACTGGCTCCTGCCAGTCTTGGCTGAATGTTGAGAAACAAGCCCAGTACAACTTGCAAGGTTGCTGCAAGGACCCTGGTCTTTCCAACCATTGTAGAGCCAGATGCAAACCATGACAGGACATCTGTATCTTTGACTGTGTGTGCCTTGTCTTACCAAATGCTTCTCGGGGTTGAACCATAACTTCATTATCCTCAGCCCAGAGGTGGTGGGACTGCTGTCCAACTCATCAGAGGGTAGTAAATGAGCAAAGGGTGGAAGACATTTCAGCAAAAGGAGCTTGTCTGATCCTTTCTTAAGAAAAGCAAGCTAAGGAAAGACACCCTCCTCTTCATTTTCACTTCATCTAGATCAGGGATGTTCAAGAATTTTCTTCTTTCCATGGTTCAAAGTGAGCTCACCTATGACTCTCTCTGATTGTATGTTTCTATGAATGGGACATGAATTAATAGATGCAAAACTGATATGCAATACTCTGATCTGTCAATTCCAAACCCAGCTTTAGGACTCCCAATCCATAGCCAACATTGATAAAAATGGTGGGCCTGATGAAATTAGCAAATGTAGAAGCTGAAACCAGTCAAATACATGAAACCAGTCAAACACCTATCATCTGGAAGTCAGGCAGATCTTGCAATGTTGTGACAGATGTTGTATTGTTTTGCAAAATTAGAAAAATATTAGTTTTTGATACTTCCTGAAAACACTTATATTTCAGGAAGCCTTCCTGGTCCAAGCAACCATTCTTTTACATATTTTGTCTTTTATTGTTCACCATTCCAAAATCTCCATACTGAAAAATGGAGCAGATATAAATATTGCAAATAAATAAGCAAATAACAAAATACAAATCTGAGCATAAGTAACTATGATTCTCCAAGCCTCAGCCTATAAATCACCGATAAATTGAAAGGGTCTGTCTGCCATGTCTCGCTGCTTGAGAGTCTTCTTGGATCTCATCCTGACTTTCCACAGAGAAGTACCATCATTCAACCACACCCAACCAAAAGAGGGTTCCATTCATGCCTTTATGCCTTGGCTTGCTCATATGTATGCACAGCTATTGATCTCCCATCCCTGATTACACCAGGAGTGGGCAATTTGTGACTCTCCAGATATTTTGGCCAATACCATTCCTATGTTGACTAAGCTCATAGGAGTTGTAGGCCAAAACATCTGGAGAGCAACAAGCTGGCCACCCTTGAATTACACGATGCATGATTACCATCACAGCCAGTGGCTTCAGCTCTGGATGAAGAACAGCCTGTCCAGGCTGATTTGGGGTGCTATGGAAGCTCTCTGTGATGGTGAAACCTGAATGATTGCAGAGTTTGCCGAGCAGCTATACATCTGCACACGCACACACATATTTGGCTGATGTTCCAAATGTATTCCTGGTCTTCTTCAGGAACTGAACTGAGATCTGACAGCATACACAGGGCATGGCCCAGGAAGTTACTCAAAGCTTGCTGTGTTGCCTTCAGCAAAATGAGTGCAGCTCATCCTAAGACATCCAACATCCTTCCTGCTTTCCATCTTGCTCCTGCTGAAACAGGAGCCATGCAGTTCCTTATGAGGAAATTTAATTGTAAACATCTTCTGCCAAGGAGGCTTTGAAAAATGTTCCCTCATTAGTTGCTTAACCTTCCTGAATAATAGATGCATCGACATTTCTAAAAGCACGATTCATCTCTGCTGCTGTGTGTCATAAAAATGTGAAATAATATAAGCAGAGATCAGTCTTCTTGAACACAAGGAAATCGGTCCTCTTACTCATATTAAATTGCAATGAAGAATAGAGGCAAAGGGCTATTTTTAATGCAGGGTCCGTATTAAAGTCTCCAATAAGGGGATGCAGTTCCATTAGCCTTATTTCTCGTAACAGTGCTGTGAAACCTTCAAGTTAGCCTCTTGTTCCCATTTATTTGAGGTATCAAAGAATTGCTATTTAATTATTTAAGGAAGACAATATTTTCTACAGCTAAACTGGATGCAACATTGGAGATTCCTGCCCAGCTGTCCCACCCTCAGGAGGACCCTCAGGAGGACTGCAGCGCAAAGGGGCTGTGGTTGATGGAGGTGGTGGTGGTGACACAGGTGTCCAGGCACAGCCCTTACTTGCATTACAGGTACCCATCAAGTTAAAATGTTTATTCAACTTCGTTTTCTCTTCAGGAAGGCAGTCAGCTTTTTTAAAAAAATAATAAATTAAAAATTTTCAAGCAAACTACCACCACCACTGGATTTTTTTCTGGTTGAAACATTCTAAAGACACTTGATAACTTATTTATATAGCATTCCATGAATTCCAGAGGGCCTGTAGCATGTAACCTGGACCCTGGTAGACTTTGATGCAGGGGTAGAAATGGTATTTATTTCTTCCTGTGTTGGTGGTGTTTATATCCTGCTCGTCCTCTTCAGGATGGCGTACATGAATCTACTCATTCCAGCCAGGTTAGTGGTGGATCCAGCCAATGTCACTGCATTGCTAGAAAATGATTTGAGCTTGAATCTTGCCCATCCGAGTCCTAAACATTACAGGCTTAGACTTACAGATGTGCTGATACAGGAAAGTCAAGGTCATTCAAGCTAAACAGACTTCCTGCTCACTTCCTTTCTGATGATCAGAAGTAGACTGAGTCAGGCACAGTTTCTGAGGATACCATCTCTAAGATGAGCACCGTTAGTGCTTAAAAAACCTGCTAAAGATATTTCCAAAAGCTGTGCTAGTGTTGCACAGTTTTTGGCTTTCAATTTGCAAAATAGCATGATTTGCACAAATTCCAAACAGAAAAATGGGCACACTCAGCCTATCTTAGAGATGGAAGTTTGCAAGCTGGCTTGATTCCCATCACAGTGGGTCACTGCCAGTGTGAACCTCACACGTGCCTCTTTATACTACAGTAACTCTACAGTTGCAGGATTTTGGAAGCGGCCACAATGTAGGGGTAGAACACCAGCTTCGCAGGCAGAAGGTTCATTCCCCAGTAACTCCAGGGAGAGCTGAGAAAACTCCTGCCAGAAACCTGAAGAGCTGCCAGTAGCCAGTGTCAGTCATGTAATTCTGGGCTAGGGAGGACAGTATGTTCCTGTGTGCCTAGACCTAAAGTTCAGCCAGAGATTTCCCTGCTCACAGTCACTACCCCGCCCTGCTTTCTGGGAAAGGGGCACAGCTCCATGCCACGGCATGTGCTCTGCATGCAAGGTCCCAAGTGCATCCTGGCGCTTCAGAAGACTTTTGCCTAAAACAGTCAGGGATGGCTAATCCCCTCCCATGTGGCACCGTCCATCTGTGTTGGACTATAAGCCCCATCAGCCCTAGACAGCAGGTCGAGTGTGGTGGGAATTGTGGCCCAAAACAACTGGAGAACACCGTGTTGGAAAAGGCATGTGTAGGTGATTTGGCGTTGCCTGAGTTACTTTCTTTCGTTCATCTCAGGCTCTGTACTTTATGCTGCCACATGGCGCGTGGCTGCAAAGAAGCGCTGACCATCGATCACGCTGAAACTGGCCCATTGGATCAATGTGCTGGCACTCTGGGAGGATGCAGGCCCCTCTCTCTGAGCTCCAGTGCACAGAGCTGGCCCCACCACCAGGCAGAAAGGGGCAGAGCAGCAGGCACTGGTTGGAAGGCAGCCTCTCCCTGCCAGCTCTCATGAGCGCCCTGAGCTACCCTGCCCTGGTGGCACTAAGCTGGCCTATTGTCCCCAGACACGGTGGAGGAAGCTGTCTTTGAGGTTCGCCAGGCATGAGAAACCCACAGCCTTTCTGGTGTGTCTGGATCCCAGTTCCCATCAGCCCTAGCCAGCATGCCCAGTGGCTAGAGAAGATCATAACTGAAGATCAAGCATTACAGCCAGTGTGATACAGTGGGTGGAGCACTGGACTGGGACTCAGGAGATCCAGTTCGAGTGCCCACTCAGCAATGAAACTCACTGGGATGACTGAGGACTAGTCAGGGACCCTCAGGCTGGCCTATCTCAAAAGGTTGCTGTGAGGATAAAATGGAAAAGGAAGGCAACTATGTAAGCTGCCACATGGAAAAGAGAGAAAGAGAGAGAAATGCAAGGGGGGAAAAGGTCGCATAGCGATGCATGCATGTATACACCTGGGGGGCAGTGACACCCACCCCATGTTTTTCTGGTGTCAGCTCCAAGCAGTGGTCCTGCCGAAGCGCCTTCCTCTGTGGCTTGCCCTTTGCCACCTCTCATTTGCTGCTCCCTAGCTGAAGGTAATGAGCCAAATGCTTTATCTGGTTTCCTCCACTCCCTTCTTTCACTGGCATTGTGAGGCTTGGAACAATAACAGGATGCAGGGATGCAGGATGGGAAAAGGGCAGACACACAGCTGGGAAACTTTGGAGACTGGGAAGCTGAACACTTCCCTGTACTGGTTAATGAAGTGAAGTAGCAGTTTTCGTTCTCTTCTGTATATTAATTTTACTTTACCCAGCTGGGCCTTGGAAAGCATTCGTTGGGTGTGGTTGATGGAATCACCTTTCTTTAGGATAACGTAACGCCCAAGCCAGGTAAGAAACACAGGAGGCGGGGAGGAGGTTGTTTGTGGGACTCTTGACTCCAATTTTAGGGAACCAAGGCTCCCTTTAAGACATCCTGAATCCAAAATGTGCGTTTGTAAGGTGTTTTTGTTGATATCGCTGTTTGTGCTCAAGTTACATGACTTGGAGGGGAGTATCTGAACTTACTGTATGCTGCTTCCAGACTGGAAAATGTTGAAGATTATTTGTGCGGTTTTTAAAGAACTTCAGATCACATTCTACACCAAGACACTAATCTGCTGCCAACAACACTTAAAATGGGAATGGAAAATATATACCGTTCTCCAGTGTGTACCCAGAGAACCTTATTGAAGGGTTAATTGTTAGTGACAGTCTGGGTTGTCACTGAACTGTGAGTTGCTGAAATTATCATGTCTGAACCCAGCAAAGATAACTCACAACGGTGAACAAGTCCCAGTTCACAATCCAGAAAGAAACCATGGGTTCTCTTCATGGGTTGTTCATGGTTAGCAAGTCATGCTTTGTTAGCACAGCTGAGTTCAGACAACATAGTAACCCCTGATCCCACAAGGACTCCTAGTTCAACAGCAACAACACACTCAGCCCCAGAGCGTGGATTATCTGGTGGGCTGAACCCAGTCAGTGAACCTTCCTATTAAGGGTATGAACAAATAGCCAGCGTGGGATGCAGGTATGAGTTGTTTCAAGACCATGATGTGGGCAGAGGGAAGATTTGTTTTATTCTACTTATTTATTGTAAGCCATCTTGAGACATTTGTAGGGGACAGGATAGAAAAGCTTTGAATGAGTGAATGAATGAATGAATGAATGAATAAAATTTCATCCCAGTTGAAGCCTCCTCCCATGCCTGCCATTCACAATGGCATGGAAGTTTCCATTGGCATCAATGGGCTTTCTTCCCACTGTAAATAGAAAGTGCAGGCGATTCTCATTGGCATCACAACAACACAAAAGGTGAAGGCCTCTACTTGGCCCAATCCTGTTCAGGGGGCACAGGGACTATTTCTTACACAGTCAATTATGTGACGCGTACTATGGCAGAGAGGTCATGTTGCTATCAAATGTGCTACAAAGAGATTACAGGCATTCCCGGCTATTAACTTTCAGTTAAAAGCCACCAAGGAACATTAGGAAGGGTTGTCAGTGGGAAGCACAACCTCTTTAGCACTTAGTAACTGCAATACCTGCTAATTAGAAAGTAAGTTTGGGTGACTATTGGCCAACCCTATCCATTGTCTCCAGGAGAACGTTTTCCTGTGTATAAACACTATGCTATTGATCCTTGGCTGCATAAGGTCTTGATTTTGGCTGGTCATCTGGCTGGTCAACCACAAAATTTCCTAAAGATGCAAATTAGAAATGAATCGATGCTTCTAGTGGCACTTGGAATTTTATTTGCCAGTTTGGGGAAGGGATGCTGTGAGTACACACATTGCCTCCTTCTATTTGGCAGCATGATGCACAACTTCTGCATAATGGAAAAAAGAGTGTGTTGGGGGAGAGAATTGGAAAAGGCCAAATGCTGGTAAGCGAGCTGAAATGATAGGCAGAAATAGGAGCTTTTGATTGCCACTTTTCTCCTCTTTGCAATGGCCAGTGCCAGATGGTAACTAAAAAAATATCCTGATAGGTAAAAGTGTGGGCTGTACCTCCTGGCTGAGCTTATGAAGTTACTCTGAGCAGAAATAAGCCATCAAGCAATCATTCCATTGAGTATTAATAAAGAACACAGACTAGAATACTGATAACTGTTTATCTAATCCAAAAAACAAATCACTAATTTGAAAGCAGGCTTTGGAATTTGTTGGTGGTATTCTGGGACACGACAGAAGGCATGCCATGCGCTCACAGCCTAACTTTTCTCATGGGGGTGGGGGGGTTGAACCTTGGGGAAAGATTGCCTAGAGCACATTGGAGGAAAAGTTGAAAACAGCTGTAATTACAGGGTGACTCATTCCATCACCCTAAAAGAGTATATGCATCGAAAAAAGAGGGCATAGATTTGTGTATTCCACCTGATGCACATCAGTGCAAATTTAGAAGCAAGGAGTGTATTATCAGTGGGAAGATAATGCTGTGTCTGCACTAAAAGCTGGTGGGCGGCCCCAAGGGCCTCGCTGCTCCTCCATCTGGTGCCTCTTCATCTTTAAACTAGGCTTGGATCCAACCGCTGTTCCAGTGGAGGATGCCTTTGAATACAGGAAGGCTGCCCCCTGCAAAGAAGGGCACATTTTAATTAATTTTAATTGTGGGTTTCAAAAGCCCAAGCAAACCAAAAGCAAATACAGAACAAAAATAAAGTGTTGCAGTTTTCTTGAAAGGAATTTGAGTAACTACAATGAATATATATATACAATGTACCTTTATATATTTTAAATATAGCAAAATCTAGGCCTGTGCTGTGAGATTGTTATGCACAGAGGTCAATAAAGTGAACTGAGATATCCCTGTATTTGTGTATTTGTAAATTATACCTCAGAACTACCCATTCAAAAGCATCATCAAGTTCTCAATCCTTTATGTTCTCAAAGGTGGCTATTTGTTCTTCAAATAGTGTATTATTTGTCTTTTAACTATTGAAAAGGGCATGGAGAATCTGTTGTGCGTGTCTTGTATGAAATAGGACATATGACTACCCTATAAACGGCCAAATACAAAAGAAAGCAGAGGAGGAGAGGGAAATTCAACAAATGAAGCTTCTGCTATTCCCTTGTCTACCCAAATATTAAAGGGACAGAAGCCCTGCTTCCTTCAGCATCAGGCTTCCTGACTCTACAGGATGACATGAAAGGCGTGATTAAGGGGAAACTTTCACTGAAATAGTTAATGTACTGAAGAGCTTTGCCAAACTGAACAGCCATGCCTCATATCCTGCTTTTGTTGAAGCAAATGGTGTAACCAAAAAACAGGATATATGTAGAAGGAGTTGTATAGTTTTAACCTTTAAAGACATTTTGATTGATATGCATTGCATTGCATGAAGACTGCATATTATTCAAAGATGGGTGGAGAGAGAAAGCCTCTCTTCTCCTCTCAACAAAAGAAAACACCAATATTTCCAAGTACAGTTGCAACTGTATTGTAGTTCCCTTCTTCAAGGTTAGAAGGAGAGGTTGTTATTATTTGAATGCTTGTTTGCATATTGAAATTCTGGATAGTGCGTTCTCAAAAGCAAAGTACCTGCCCTGTGGAGGCTGGAAGGGGGAACTATTTGGGGGAAATGATTTTCATTTAGGATTTTTGCAGCATAAGGAATTCGGCCAGGAGCCACATGAATAGCAGTTCAGTTGACCAAAACATCACAGTGAATGCATAAGTCTTCCACAAAATTCTGTGTCAGTCAGCTGCTTTTTTTGACTTGAAGAACAGGGACTTGATGAAAGGGGCCATGAAGGCACCTGGAAATGTTTCTCAGCTGAGGAATAGAAGGTGCCTCTCACCTACAGTGGCCGAGCTGGCATGTGTGGGCATGGTGGTGGAGTGAACTCTCCCAGATCAAGAAGAACTTTTTTTTTTAAGAAATTTTATTAAAATTTTAAACTAATACTAAAAACATCAGTCATCACATACATTGGACTTACTGGGTCAACCCCCTGCTACATATTTTTTAACATTCTATAATCATATTCAAATCAGTTTATAATAACTCAAAAACATCTCTAAATCTACACCAAGTCCCATTTCTCCAGCCAATTATAGAAAAAATCCCAAGTTTGATAGAAGTCAGTGTCTTCTTTCTCCTTCAGTGATAAAGTCAATCTATCCATTTCTGCGCAGTCCAGAATCTTCCTTAAAATCAGTTCATCAGTGGGTAGTTCCTCACTTTTCCAGTATTGAGCAAATGCAATTCTCGCCGCTGTGATTAAGTGTAACATCAAATACATTTCCTGTCTGTTAATATCTTCCGGTATGATGCCTAACAAGAAAACTTCTGGTTTAAAAGCAAAGGGTTTTTGTAGTATTTCCTCCATCCATTTATGTATTTTAATCCAATACTTTTTCACATTATCACAAGTCCACCACATATGATAAAAAGTACCCACTTTATGTTTACATTTCCAACACCTATTTGACATATTTGGAAACATCTTAGCTAATCAACTTGGCAACAAATACCATCTATAGAACATTTTATATAAATTGTTCAGGTCAAGAAGAACTTAAGTGCTTGTCTTGGCTTGAAATGTTGTTGGGACTTGCATTTCAAAGATCAGAAATTCCAGCTGGGTGCCCACGATGGCTCACATCAATTACGAGTGGAGCAGGACCAGTGTCGAGGGTAAGCCTCAGCAGAAGCACACTGACAAGAGCACCCTGAAGTCGTTCCTCCTCTCCATCATTACAGCCTGATTCTCATCCTTGCCCAGATAAAGGGGTGACGAGATGTCTGCTTGCTCACTGGTTCTCTGCCTGTCATGCAAGCAAACAGGAGCAATTATGGAAAAGAGGAGGCGGGGCAAGAGCAGCTGATGATAATGCTAATAAGGAGGTGCACTCAGTGAGGGAAAAGGATCATTTACGGTGTCTTCCCTAAGGATCCACAAACCTAGAAGTGGTACTGGATCTGAGTGTTCATCTTCAACTTAGATATAGATCAGTCCAAGAGGGTGGATGAACAATCCAACATTTATGAATTGGACCATATCATCTCCCCAGATCCATACTGGTTCAATTAAGCCAAGGTAGTTCCCAATTTTGTGACAAACTGGTGTAGTTAACTCCAAGTCATTCCAATTACCACCTGGAGAAGTTATTATTCTTGGCACACATCCAGCCATCCACCTCTGTTTTATTCCTTGGTTCCATTTGTTTGTTTGTTTCTTCTTTAAGTGTCTCCATTAATGAGCGCTGGGGAAGATGTGAATAATTCAGGCAGGATCAAGTCCAAACAAAACAAAACAAAAAGTGAAGAAAATTTCTTTCTTCTACCTTGTCTAGAAGATGATTGGATGTATTGTTACTTGCAAGAAAAGATTCATCTTTTGGGT